TGCGAATCGACGCGACATTTTGAGGAAAATTGAACTATATTCGATACTTTTCGATACGGTTGCTCGCTCTTGAAGTTTTCATTGACGTTGCGAATTTTATGGTATTAATATAATATAATACAACGTGACGATAGTTATTTCCTGGCACCTGTCTATCGTGAAATATAATATATTATTAAAAATGTATCGTACGAGTGATATTGCACGAGGCATCGATGTTTCGATGCTCAATATCGATCTGTTAATTTAGAGCAATTCGATGAGAACGAAAAATTCTGAAAACTTGACAATATATATGGACAATGATAACGTTTACGATATAAGCGACGTGTTGCCAATGAAGCGTCAATCGTCGCGTTAATATCGACAAACTTTAGATTGAAATTTCTCTTTGTTGAGAATTTTTCTTTCGTTAAAACCAAACTATTATTCTCCGCATCGTCGCAATTTGTTTCATTGACAACGGAAACCCCGGTAGATCGAATTCATGAATTTGAGAAAGCTGTCCTTCAGCAATAGAAACTAATAAATAAACGTCGTTACATTTTATACTAGACTCTTGTTTCTGTTGTATATTATGCTTGGATGCGTAATTAAGTACGAGACAATTCGGTCCATATCGAGGTTGCAAATTCGAGCTTCGCAAGTTTGCGATAAAGTGAACTTTAGCTTTGCCAAAATTTGCAAAACACCAGCGTGTACTAGATGATACGCTATTCGTAACTGGCCGATGTAAATTTTACAACGTCGACGGATAGACAGATAGACAAAGTCGCGCTTTAATCTGAAACATTAACATTAACGTTTTCGCTATGCAGAGCAATCCTGGCCAACGTAGATGCGCTATAGTTAAGAAACAAATGCAAAACTTTATTGGCCGTGACTGAAATCAGAACCAGCAAGGTTGCGGCAAGTATCAGACGTTGACTGACTACAGTCACCGACAGTGCACATTGAACGTCAGACTAGACTGGACAGGTGACTGTACACGTAGCGATCGTTAGCAGCGAAAAGGTTAATTCCACGAGAAATTATATGGGCAAACGAATGCAAAGTTATGTCGGGCGTGATCCCGATGCCGCGGCGGCCGCCACGCCGCAGCCATGGAGGTTGAATGCCCCCGTACAGCGTACGGATTAGTGCTTGGTACCAACGTAATCGTATGCCTGGTGAATATTTCATGAAGCGCGGAAAAAAGAGATGACACCTGTTCGAAAACCGTTAGCGTACTCCTTTTGCCCGCCAACGACGGCACGGCGATTGCAAAACGGACGTTCGGCGACTTATTTCGATGCAAATTTTAAAAAGAATGCGTCGCGAGTAACTTTCAGGAAGCAGTTACGCGTGCACCGTGTCTTCGGTACCCTTAATAAAACCGTAACGTCCGACCGAATGGCAGTCGGCATCCGGCTAATCGTTTCGCGTAAATAATTATTTACGAAATGTTTATATTTTTACTTGAGTAATTAAAAAAAAAAAAGAAAAAAAAAATAGAAGGAAGAAAGAAACAAATAAATGTAGGCTGAATAGAAATTTGCTCGACCGACTGAATATCAGTTTGCATAATTTTTTCAAAAGTCTTCGGGAAATGATGCTTTGGTACAATGGACCGACACACGTGCAAATTATATTGTGATGTGTAATGGCTTCGTTATTTATGATAAATATCAAGTATCCCAGAACTATCGATTTTGTAACATAAATGAACAAAGTTATTAAATCTGGCGTTATTAAAATCAGCGTCGCTCGATCGAGCAAGGTAATTCGGGAGATTTTGCCCGAAAAATAAACGGGACACCTGACTAATAAATTAAGTGTTATACTGAGAATGGAAGTGAGTTAGAAACCATACATTCCTTAGGTTATTACGGTCGCTTCTCTCTCTCTCTCTCTCCTTCTCTTTCTTTTTCTTTTTTTATGTGACTTTTATGAGCGGTTTTATACGACTCATTCAGGTCCGGTTACTTTCGCGAGCATTCGCTCGAATTATTTCTTTTTACACGCGATCGTATCGACATTTAGTAACCAAATTGATTCGTTACGTTTCGTTACTTTCGGCATCTCGAGTATCCGGAGAAACTGGTCACACTGACAATTAATGTAAAAAAATTTATCCCCAATAAAATTTCAGGACATTTTTTCTTTTTTTTTTTTTTTTCTATCGCAGATAATAGAAGATTCAGGATTTTTCCAACATTGGAACGAACGTAATACTTGTCACAAGATTTTTTCGTGCGAGAGAGGATTTGTTGGGAAATGTCTGCTGTTAGCGTTGATGTTCATGCACATGATTGGCGCATGTAGCGGAAAGGTTCTCAAGATGATCCGCAAGATTTATGAGACATTTCAAAGTGATTGTGTACGTGATCGTGCCGGTCGAAAGTAGTTCAAAGAATTTAAAACAGGGCCGGACGTAAGCTGGGACAAGAATAAGTCTCGGTATCGTTACAACCAAAAGATAACCAATCGAAGATCCCAAAAATGTGTAAAATATTCGTTTTCGAGGTTCCGTATTGCCACGAGAGAAATCCAAGGCCATTCTACAAAATTGGTAAATTTGTATTATTTTGTATTGTTTGTATTATTCAGAGAAGACGAGACTTATCCTTGGTGCAAAACAATTTAATAAGATCTTATGGAATCAGAATATATAGGATATATACACTTTGGAGAAGATTGTTAAATTTGATGAAAAAGTCTGCAACGTGTAATCTTCCAAATATTGAAAGTTCCTTTTCGAGATGATGTTCTTTAATGATTCCTCGACTTGGTATTTTAGAGAACGAGCGTGAAAAATTGGGAATGTCAAACGCTTCGACGCGGGTCATCAATTCCTAGTTTTAAGATAAAGACGTGGACAATCTATTAGCCGATCGCCCGTTCGGAATCTTTATGTTAATTCCATCTAACGTACTGTTTTAATTCGATCGATTAGTCGAACAATTAGTTTACGTCAAATTTGCGGTTTCATTTTTTTTTTTTTTTTTTTACAAAAGTGAAAGATTACTACTCGCAGACGTTATCTCGTTTGTTATTCTCGTCAAACGCATCGAGTAAATTGTCAAAGTAAATTTCATTATGGCCCTGCATGGTTATCGAGCAAAGAGAAAAAAGAAAAAAAAAAATGAGAAAAAGGAGAATGTCTTGTTGTTAAAATGTTACGTTCAGAATGACCGCTACGAGAGTCTTCAAAAAAAATGTTCGGTGCAATTAGGTTCGCGACGATACAAAATCGATGACTCGGCGTTTCTTCGAAACAAATTTTCGACCGGCATGATGCAGGTGTACGCAGGTGTACGGGCCTCTTTCGCTTATGCACGTGAGTACGTTTGAAGCCGATGAATCGGTCTCTCTCTCTCTCTCTCTGGTCAATCTCTTCCTCAGGATCTCGTGGTACCTCAGTAGCCACGCTTTCACGTCGAGTTAACTCGACGAAAGTGCACAAAATTTGGCGACGACGGAACGCGAGAAAATGGCCAAAAAAAAAATGGCCAAAAAAAAAATGGCCAGTCTGTCATTGCTCGTCGAGACCATACATGCTCATAACGTTCGATTTTTCAAGATTCGAAACGATACGATATTTAAAAGTACATGAAGTCATTGTTTCTCCGAAACGAGTTGTTTTTATACTTGTGCATCCGGTTCCCAGCGTTAACGACCGGGACAACGTTTACCACATTCGTAATAATTTCCTCCCTCCCAAAAAAAAAGAAAAGAAAAGAAACCGACCGTTTCATAGTGACGGGATTTTGCGGTCATTACATCACGTGTCTCCTCTCCGCGCGGAGGAGGTCATAAAGCTTCGTACGTACAGGATTTACGAGCGTGTACGTACGTTAGACGGCGTGCGTTCTTCGCACGTGGGAATCCCGATCCGAGATAACTTTCATCGCGATACATCGAGATAGCTATCGTTGAAGCCGAGAGCGTGGCTCGAATCGCAGATTCGCGCGTAGTTGGCGCTTCCTATCGGCCTCTCCTATCGAGGTGAGTTCGAGCTCTCCTCGTTCGAGTTTCGATATCTCACGAGTGACCGATTCCTTCTGATCGAAGGGACGTCGTAAACCGGCAAACGTTTCCGTAACGTCGACGAAAGACGCGAGTATCAGCCCGGAGAGTGTTCGTTGGACCGCTAACCGGAATGCGCGAGCGCTAACTCTCGAGCGTCTCGGAGCTTCGCGGAGCGGTTGGGTGCTCGACTCCTCGACTGCTCGGCGAAGAATAAGAGAGACAGACAGAGAGAGAAAGAGAGAGAGATAGAGAGAGAGAGAGAGAGACGCGAAAGAGAAGGAGGAAAGGATACGAAGAGAGCAAGCGAGAAACAGAGAGCAAGAGAGAAGAGAGTGGAAGAGTGGCCCGCGGGAACGGAGTGCTCGGTGCTCGCGATTGAAGAAGATGGCAAATGAGAAGGACAGAGAGGACGCGAGAGGAGCGAGCGAGAGGAGACGATCTCGGAGGAGATTCGAGGCACATTGCGCCCAGACCAGCGGCACGAAAATTTGGTGAGGCCTCCTTGCCTGCGGACCGACCACATTCCCTCCCCACCCGATTTCCTCGTACGAGAACCTTATCCGCCTGGGCAGTTTCACCGTGGTCCACTCTATCCGCGTGCGCGTTTATATCGACAGGCCGGATCATCGGCCCGGTTTGCATTAACTGTCGCAACCGCGCACCGTCCCGCTTGAATGGGAAACCCGTTAAACGAAAACGAACCAAACCCGGCCCGAATGAACGAATTCTTTTTTCCAGAGTCGACGAACGATCGTACGTCTCTGTAACGTGCCAGAGATCGTTTGACGTTTTTCGTCTACGACGTTCCTGTCGATAAACCAACCTCGTCGACACGGTCCAGCGAGAATAAACGTTGGACAATCTTTTTCAATGAAAATTGTAATTCTCGCGAGATCGTTGGCGGGGAATTTTTTTCTCCGTTGACTCGCGGACGAGCTGGGACGAGAAAGATTCGACGTTTTGTATACATATATATGAATAAGGCTCACCTAGCGATCGCGGAGTGCGTGCGGAGTCGCCACGTGTTAGCTGCAGCTTAGCGGCTCCTCGTGCCGCATCCCGGCAGCCGCGTTATCGCCTTATCAACCCCGCCTTCTTTTCCTTGCGTTTGTCTGGCGTTTGCAGTGTCCCTTTTTTTGGTCTTTTCCTCTTGCCTCTTCTTCGCACTAATCGTTAGATCCTGCCTGTTTCAATCACCGAACAATCGACCGAAGCACCGTTTGTCAGCACCCGAGGAACTGGAATTGTCTCGGCGAGAAACGATGACGAAGACGAGAATCGGTCACTCAACACAATTCACCGAATATATCTGCGTGACGTTCTCCGCGTGGCGTTCGCATCGAATCAATCGCGAGGATCGCGCGACGGTAACAGATGATCGCTCTCGAGTGGCATTCCGCAAATTGGGGCGAACGATCCGATCCGATCCGATCCCGATCGGTAACCGCGATTCGGTTCACGCGCGGCTCGTCCGACGAAAGCAGGGAAGCAGGCACAAAAGTGTCCGTGGTAGCGCCGATTTCTCACGGGAAAAGAGAAAAAAAAAAAAAAAAAGAAAAAGCGTCTGCGGAATCGACGGTTCTTTCTTGCGTACGACGTCTTCTTTTCCGCCGTCGGGGAAAAGATCGCGCGCGATATTACACGTCGGGGGACACGACGGAGAGAGAGAACGAGAGTCAAACTCCCGTTGGATCGTAGCCGATGCAACTGAGCATCGATAACGGCAGTGTGGTACCGGTAACGGCAACGGCAGCGGCAACGACAAGTAGTGTATCCGCCAAAAGATCCGCGACGTACGTTCGTCAATTTGTCCTCTCTTCCACTACTACTACTGCTACTACTACTACTATTACTACTACTACTACTACCACTAGTACTACTTCCACCTTTCCTCTTTTGCTTTTTCTCGCTCTTTCTCTGCCCCCCTCTCTCTTTCTCTCTCTCTCTCTCTCTCTCTCTCTCTGTCTCTCTATGTCTTTCTTTTTTCACCCTGCTCTCTCTCTCTCTCTCTCTCTCTCTCTCTCTCTCTCTCTCTTTCTTTCTTTCAATCTTTCTCCGTCGCTCCACCGCTCTAACAGAGAATACGTAACCACACTGGTTTACTGGTTCCGTTCGCGACGAAGATGTTCTGCGGACTGATAACCTGCCGTCTACTTACCTCCGGCAAGCGCCCCTAACGCGCCGAACTCCCTAGCACGACAGGTGCTCCGAAGGAGGAGTGGGAATAAGAGGATGGTCTCGCGGAGGGGACAGGGATAACCTACTCGTAGCAGCGGCGACAGCAGCCAGCAGCAGCAGAAGCAGCAGTAGAAGCAGCAGAAGCAGCAACGGCGGCGGCGGCGGCGGCGGCGGCGGCGGTGGTAGTAGCAGCAGCTCTTACCGGTGTATATGCATTGCGAGAGAGAGAATGAGAGAAAGAGAGGCGATTATGAGGGACGGAGAGGAGGGAGGGTTGGGAAAGAGAGGGATGAGAAAGGAGAGAGAGAAAGAGAGAGAGCGAGAGAGAGAGAGAGAGATGGGGATAGCTGGACGACGACGACGGCGGCGGCGGCGGCGGCAGGCCGTGCAACCAGCACCGAGCAGACCGAGCAGAAGAGAAGAGGGCAACGACACCGCATCGCGGGTCGGTGGGCTTCGACACATTTACCGAAAACTACATCGTCACCACCGTCACCGCCACCGATGCCGATGCCGCCGTTCCGATTCTCCGAATCTCTCCGATAATTGATCGATCGATCGATCGATCGATCGACACCTGACCCACCGTGTTCCGTACAATGCACGGAATTTTCAACGTACCCCTTCGGACGTCTTCCTCTGCTGCTAATTCGGCTGCCTACTTATTCCGTCTAATCTTGACTCGATGACGTTTCGACGTTGCGTCAACGCGAGGAAACCCCGAGGAAGGTTTATCGACGTCGATCGTCCCTTCCGAATTAGGCTCGTTAGGTTTACCCGGTGGGTTTCGCACGGCACGAGAATGAACGGTTAGAGACGATTGCCGGGGTGTCGGGAGTGATCGTCGTTATTTAGGAAGATCGTCGGGTGGTCATTCTCGATCGTTGGCCTCTTTGGGGCACGGCCATTTCGTAGCCGGGCCGCGTTTTCCATCTCCCACCCTCCTCATCTCTGCCGCTATCGCGCCACCTCATCCTTCTCGTTCTCTTCGTCCTCCTCCGTTCTTACCCTTCTCTTTTTCCTCCCGTTCGTCCTCTCCCGTATAGTCTTATACGTACATTCCTCGCCCTTTTTCTTCCTTTCGCCCGTGCCTTTTCTCTTTCTTCGACTAGGGCAGCAGCGCTCGACAGCAGCGACGTGGCCCTTTACTCGTTGCGTTACCCACGCCCCGGGGAAGTCGGATCGATCGCGATAGAATTCATCACTCGTCTGACATTTATTCCTTTGCGATTTTATCGTTTCGATCGACGACGATGATTTTCAACTTTTTCGTTTCCTCGCATATCGCGAGACCTCTGCCTCGCGCTAGATCGACAGGGTTGCGTCCTCGGCTGTAATCCGTCATCTTCCTTCCAGCCGCTTCTCGCTTTTTCTCCCTGTTTCATATCCACGTTCACGTTCCTCCGATTGTTCCGGGTTCGTTCGACACCCCCCCGTAAATCGATCTAACCGTTAATCGTGAAATCGTGACACATTCCCCTCTCGTACGTGAAAATCGTCGAACGTGGTAAATATGATAATTGATTCGAACGTCCGACGAGTCGGACGAGTCCGCGCCGATAAATATTCAACTCGTCATAGTAGCGATGCACGCGCGTTTGCGTTCACCCTTGCCTTGCGATTTTTCAGCGCGACTCGCGAGAGAAGGCCCCAGAGAGACAGCGGGTTGGCCGGGTAGCACGAGCCAGCCGAGCAACCGGGCAGTCGACGAAAAAACAAACATTTTCCGTTTTCAAGATCGCGCTAAAAACCCGGTTGCAAGTCTCTAGCGCGCGTTCTGAGAAGGATCAGGGTCGCGGGACCCAGTGTAGCCGCGGCGCAAGCGTTCGTGTACGCGAGAAGATGCGACGCGAGGCGGGGCGAAGTGCAAGGATGGACGATCCGATCCGATCCGAGGCGAGGCCAGGCGAGACAAGACGAGACGAAGATCAACCGAGGCGTCGTCGCCGTGCGCTTAACTCCCCTATAAGGCAGAGTTCTCTCTCTTTGCTGCCTCCTAGTCACCGTTGTCTCCAGGAGTACCCGATGATCCCTATAGGCAAGGTGTCCCGAACGCGCGCCACCTGATCGCCCATCTATCTACCAGTCTCGCGCGTCTACTCTCGTCGCCTCGAATTTGCTTACATCGATTCGATCGATCCAACAATCCTCACCATCTTTCGACGAAAATCAACTCGCCTGCCGCTTTCAGAAGCGTTGCTTTCGTACTGACTCGTGTATGATTTCTGTTGTTTGAACGTAGAACGTAGAAAGCTTTTGTTGGTATTGATCGTTTGATACACGCAGATATCGTCAAACATAGTGACGAAGAATTGAGAACGACAGTTATGTAATTTAGTTTAATGCTATTGAGGCAGAGTGTCAGTTTAGTAACTAGAAAATTCCATTCTGGCGAGAAACGGAGATTCACATCTACTGAACTTTCGGAACCAATATTTATCTGCTAACTGCTGACTTGAAAGTTACAGACTTGAAACAGAATATTCTTGCAACAAGTGTCCTTTTGTCCTTTTGTCAAAATTTCAATTGTGCCATTTGAAAATTCCACTAGTCACATAGTCGTTCAAGCTCGGGTAAGTCTTAGCTTCAGATAGCCGATTATATATTTAGATAGCTGATTATACTAACCAGACAGTTAATTATATAAATATAAGCAAACGAAAAGGAAAGTGGATCGTTTCGATTATTAAACGCAAGATCGACGAGATATCGATCACGCGTCGAGAAACGTGAGTCTACAATTTCTGTCTTATTCTCTTTCGGAATAAATAATTACTCTTACTTCGTAGAATCTGCAACTACACAGCGTCCTTTCAAGTGTCGGTGAATGCCAGTGAATTGTACATGTACCAGTTAAACAGCAACGTACTTTAAAGATATGTCTGGGTAATTCATGAATTTCATTTTTGTTTGAATGCTAAGAAAGAGCAAAATGTTCCTTTTAAGTAAATATCCCAGGAACGAGGTTTTCCTTGCGGACAGAAAGTGGAAGTTGAATTGAATTGCTTCGAAGACCGTATTCAACTCGAGCAGTATACTCCTTACATGTCGCGTATTCAATAAAACACTATACGTAACGGGCGGTGGAATTTTCGTTTCTTTATTTATTTCCAAATGGACGAGAAAATCCCTTTTACGTAAAGTGTACGTATGCAAATATTCTCGATGACTTGAACAAAGTGCGATCGAAGCGCGAGAAACTTCAAAGCGGAGGGCAGGCACAAATCGAAAATATGGTTACGAGGAAAAAAAAAAAAAAAAAAAAAAAAGAAAACGGAGAAGAGATCGAGAAAATGGTACCGTGAGACTTTATAAACTGCATTCTAAATGCATTTAAATGAAGACTGATTTTTCCTCAACTCTGAAAGTAATTTGTAATTAGATTCTAATACGATGTGTAAATAACTAACTAAAAAGATTTTTGTTTCTTATCTAGTACCGTCTGAGATTCATTTCAGTTACATATGAATATATTGTTAATTAACGCGTTAAATTCTTTTTTGAGATTACATTTTTTTTAGAAAAAAAAAAAAAAAAAAAGAAGAGACGAACATATGTACGAATTTCTTTCAAAATAAATTCACGCACATCAGTCTGTACTTTCGTATTTAGATTTGAATTTTCCCAATATATACGCGGGAACAGTAACTCTAAGGAGAATATATAATAGTGGGACGTCGGATCATTTCGTGCTTCGCAATGCGTTTAGCCGGCAATAGGCAAGAATGGTAAACGATGGCATCGTTTCTTCGTTTCGCCGATTTATCGGGAAAGTTCCCACGACGAGCGAGCACTTTGGCAACGAGCCGCGATCAGTCCTATTCGTTCGATCTTCGAAACGCGTCGGTGGCGAGAGGAGGGGCACAGTTTGGCGGCACGTGAGGCGCATTTTCGGCTAGTCAGAAGTCGTGAAACAGAGCCACAACGTCTCGGCCCCCTTGTACCGATCTTGTCCTCCACACAGTCGCAACGCGCATATTAATGAGTCGGCAAAAAAGAGAAGAAGAAAGGAAAGAAAAAAAAAAGGTGACCGTAGTCGTATCACGACCGGTTACCGATGGTCATTTAGACGGTGTCACGTTGTGTACGCTAATTACTTCTCAGTAACGAACCATTTCCTTGCAAACTGCCTCTCACGTGATTGCTATACGTCTATCCGCTTCGGAGAAGCGTCCGGTCCATTAGAATCGTTTGATTTGCTCGAGTCAACGTGCGCGGCGATCGTACGTGTTACGTACTGGCCGATCGCCGACAACCCATGCGCGCGCGCGCGCGCGCGAACCCATCGGGAGACGTCCTCAGGCCTTCAGGTATCTGAAACTCGCGCGGTCAACTAGCAACCGGAATTTCTTTCGTCTTTTTTACGCCGGCGCAAGAAACAGTACAGTAACCTATTGTTCGGTGCCTCGCTTCGGCCGCGAGGACTCCGGCCACGGGAAGTCGATGACGTTTCTTGCACGCACGTACGCGCAAATATTCTTCTTTCTAAAACAATCGCGGACGTCAGCGATCGCGGTGAACGCGAGCCGAAGCGTGAGACGCGTTCTACTTCGACGCCGAGTCATTCCAGGAATGACAAGCGATAACATTCCTTTGAACGAACAATATCCTAGTGCCCTCTGTGCCTTCGTATGGGAAAAATGTCCGATCAAGTTCGAATATTTAAAGCGAGATATATATATATATATATATATAGTATATGCAGTAAATGTACGTAAAATAATAAAGGTAATTAACGCTAGGTATAATAATAGTTAGAGTGTATAAATAATGATAGTAATGATGAGTGTACATATAAAATGATTTACAAGTATATAGTGAGTGGATATAAGTAATAATAGTAAGTGTACCGATAGCAATAGTACTTATTTATATAATATAATATTACTATATTAATATAATATATATTACAATAATAGTACAATATATATATTACAATAATAGTACTTATATATATAATATAATATTATTATATTAATATAATATATATTACAATATTATTATATTATA